CAATTAATTGAACAATTAATCCATCGTTAACTTGCTTCTTGGCATCCTCACTGTTAAATCTACCTATCAAACTAGTTACAGCTTTGCATCTTCCTTGCCACTTATGCGTAAGAAACTTAGCCAACTTTCTACTTCCACCCTGATTATGCTTGCTTCCGTTGACTGTATTCATAAATACTGCACATCTCTTGTAACCTGCGTTTACAAAGTTAAATAGGTTTTGAAGCATAGAGAACAGCTGCTGAATGGAAGGATGATCAATGAGGCTACAATGGTCAACAACAGCAAGACTAAGACAATGTGAATGACACCATATGTGTTGATTTACATTTTGAGTAGATGCTCGAAAATGGTTCGCAAGCTTTGTCATCACTGATGCCCCATCGAAACAGTGCGCAATGCAATTTGCTTTCCAGTCAAGGTTTGTTTTGTCCAACACATCAGATATGTCTGTAAATAAATTTTTTGCTCTTCCACAAGTTATTGAACGTAAGAAATGTATTTATCGATTGCTTCTTGGTGTTGCTTCTGAATGGTACAAATTACAAGACACATCTGGTTGCATAGAGCTATATTGTTGTTGAATTTGCTTTTGTATTTCAGTAGTGAACACTTTCAGTAGTTCATTAAAAGTGTAGTTACAAAGCCAGGTAATTTTTGATCCCCTTCCAATTGCTCCAGATTTTTCACCAGGTTTTTGGGATGTTTTTTCGGTTGCTGACAGCTGCCTCAAGTGTTCATTTAGCATCGGATCCACTGTTATGAGAAGTTTTAACAAGACTTGAATGTTTCCATGCCACAAATAAGGTTTTAAAATGGCGGTAGCATTTTCGTTTCGGTGCCCACGCCACCGTAGGACTTGTATAACAAGAGTGCGAAAGGCTTTTATTATGCTTTTAAGAACAAAACGGTTTTGGTCAACAACTGTTTTAATGCTTTGGTCTAGAAGGTGACAAGTAGATTTTCCTGCTTTAGAGATAAAGAATGCGCCTAATGCTGCAGAGTGGGCAACTGATAGTTCATGTCTATTAATGTTGCGTAGATGGTGCGATCTTTCGGTTTGGTCTAACAGACATCCAGCCACAAAAAGGTTGTTAGCATCACAATTAAAACATATACATACACTGCAAAAATATTTCTTGCTCATCTTGTTAAAGCTGAGCCAAATACGTACATTTTTATCTTGTTCGCTATCAATATTGCATTTATAACCTCTGGAAACTGTGTTCTTTACAAAGCTTGGCTGAATTGGATGGGTAAAAGTTATAAAACTTACCTCTTGTCCCGTTGCTGACCTTTGCCAAAGTTTAATTGAATCATCTATGTTATCCAACCTTTGAAGGGATTGAGTAATAAGACGTTCCGATGCTCTTGAAATTGAAAAGTCAACTGGATTACTGTGACTAGAAACCTCGTCTGTAATTGGTTCCAAGGTATCAGTGGAATCAGATGGTATAGGATTAGTTGATGATGATGCAAAGAATCCAGAGAGAGTTTTTTTCCCCGATTGTAATAACTTTAACTCTTTTTTCTTTTCCCATTGGGATTTCTGTTTTTTAATATTTTTCTGGGAAAAAATTTTGCAAAATGCTAAATCACACACTGATACACACGCAATTAAAATTACACAATTAAAATTTTAATTGAATAAAATTTAGAATACATTTATAATTATAAATGAACATAAAAAAAAAAAAAAACAAACCTTTTAAGTGCTTTGTTTAATCTTTATTGAAATATTATGATTAAAAAGATCTCAATAGTGAATCAGTAAATTTGATACTCAGATCATTTTACGCACTCAGTCAATTTTCCCTAGTATTTTATTTTTAGTATTTATACATGTCAATAACAATTAAGGTAACCATAAAATTACTCCACGCTATTAATTAAAATAGCTTGTGCACATTTTTAATATAAAACTCCTACAAGTTTAAAAATATATATATATAACATAAACATCCTTTAAAAATAGCGTTAAACCATATTATTTCACAAACTTTTTTATAGTATGTGGTTTATTATTATGTAATGAAAAAACTTTAATTGAAGTGTGGGAGTACCCCAAATATTTTAAAATACAATTTGATATTAGACCTATACACTTTACTTATTTAAGACGCATTTTTATTTTTATTAACTATAGGTAAGTTTAAAATAAATATGCATAATTTAAAAAATATATATAATTTAAAACAATTTATATTATAATAAAATATAATATATATCATTATATAAAATAAAAAAATTAAAATCTTTTAATTTTAATTTTGTGTTAGGCTATGCTCTTTAAATAATAAAATACTAATCGTATTTGCTTGCCATAAACTAGCGGTAAAGTTGTGTTTTACGAAATCAAAACAAAAACGTGGTCCCTGCAGCGCGGTGTTACCATTTTTAATTTTGAAGTATTAAAAACACCTTGTTGGTTTGTATTAATGATTTATTCGAATAAGGTCAGTTTTATATATATATATGTGTGTATATATATATATATATA